CGCTGCTCGCCGTCTGGCTGCGCGGCGACTCGCAGAAGTCGTTCGTCAGCGAGCCCATGCGGGAGAGGTCGAGGCGCAGCATGCCGCCGTTCGCAGTCGACTTCTCCTCCTGGTGGTCGGACGACGAGTGGCGCATGACGGATATGTTCACTTTCGTGCCGCCGGCGGTCTTGTACGACTTTGTGTACTTGGAGGTCTTCGAGCTGCCGCTGCCGCTGGCGTTGCCGTGCTCATGCTCCAACTCGTCTTCTAACGACGCGCTCCTGGGCAATTCCACGCTGGAGGTACTATATAAGTAAAATGTAAATTCAATAGTTCAGGACAAGAGATGTTTGCAACTGCAAGAAAACTCATTTAAGTTATTTTAAAACAACTTTTTTGACTGACATGGCAGTGCTGATTTTCGAATTTTACCGTAATTCATTTAAATGTAAAAATTTTCGAATTTTTATTACAAATTTTGTGCCTAGAGTGATCATCCCATATTCTAGCTACAATTCATCAATGGAAAAGTGAAACATGCCAAAGTAATCTTTAGTTTAACCCGGATCAATGCCTATTATTTGGAGAGGCTGCTTTCAAACACTGTAAGAAAAATAACCGGAGTAGTGAGCATGTTAATTTATAGTGTCACGTCAGTCACGAAAAGTTATAATTTTCTCCATATCTGACCTATACCTTTATCATTTTTGAAGATACTCATGATTCTCTTAGTAATGACCATAATCTACCAGAATTAATAACCAAAAGCTTTAATTCTGATCAGGACAGGACACAGTATGCTACTGAACACTGTCACGTCAGTCACAGTGTCACGTCAGTCACAATTTTTAAGGTGTGTCACGTACGTCAGTGACAGTCACACATTGTTTTAATTTCTATCTAGGATCTTAAAGTTAAGAAATATCTGCCAAACTTTGTCTTAACTTTAAGCAACCTCAGACCTTGCTTAAAGCTTAACTTAAAATTAAGATATCTCATTCAAAGCCTAAAATCAGCCACAAAATCCCCCGAATTCAGACCTATAATGATTAACTTTTATTCCATAAAATCTGTTTGGTGTTTTCAAAGCACAAACGGTGTCCAAAGACAATATAACAGTCGTGTATACAGCTACTTCAGTTTACATCAGTAAACGCACTACAGTTTCGCAATTCGAAATTGCGTTCACACGACAGACAATACGCGGCCAGCGTGGTGCCGAATATAGGCCTACGCGGCTTATTCAGTACCGTACTGAAATACGCGGCTTACTCGGCGCGGAATCACATTCGGTACGGTACTGAATAAGCCGCGTATATTTTTAGCGTGCGAACGCTCAAGTACGGTACTGAAATCCTCGTGTGAACGCAGCTGTCATACACGAGCACACAGCTCACAGCGTTCACACGAGGATTTCAGTGCATATCAACAACTGGCCTACTTAAGCCAAAACACAAACATTTAGCAAGTGTTTTGTTTATTTTCAACAGTCATAAAATTTGAAGTGGAGAAAAATTAAGAAATGGCAGCCATTATAACGTCTGAGGGCCATAAGACGTCTGAGTCAATTAAGACAGTTTAGTTAAGTTTTGCAATGACTGAGAAACCAATTTTAAGATGAATTTAACTAAGATAAACTAATTAGGAGATTTAAGATGTCTTGAACCTTCTAGACAGAGCTAAAATTTGAGCAGCGACTGAATATTGAGGTGCCTTGTATCTAGGGGAAGTAAAAGCAGTCAGAGATGAGGGATTGGAATTTTCTGTTGTGATCAGGGCTGGCAGGTTTTGGAAATGGCCAACTCATGAAGATAGATTTCTTTACTTTGCTGATCAAATTAAGAAGAGGCTCAATCCTCCAGTATTGGTAAATGCTCATGAAAACTATGACTTTCCTGGTTTTGGGTAAATGATTGAAAAATGGTATTTTTTGTGCAAATGGTAGGAAAATGAAATGTTGTATTGTATAATTTTCAGATAAGTTTGTTGTTTAATGTTCTTTTTAATAGTATAATGAATGCAATGTAAGAATTCTAACTGTTATGATTACCTTACAATATTTTAACTGTTTGTACTAAACTGTAAGTTGACGTGATTAGTTGTCACGTCAGTCACGGTCACGTCAGTCACGGTCACGTCAGTCACG